TGTCGTGGTTTGAGGAACGCGAACAACAGCCGCAGCCGCAGCCGCAGCACCAGCGGTTTGCTCGCATCGAGGTTCGCTGGCAGATATTGCGCCGCATTCGAGACACGCTTGAGGTTCGTGTGATTGTCATGGTGGTGTGTTGTGGTTTGTTGTTGCACAGTGCCTTTCTGTGTGCCTCAGTTCGCGCTGTCTTGGTCTTGCTGTTCTTGTTGTCCTAATCGTCGTCTGGTTGCAGGCAGTTTTGCACTGCGTGCTTGTGCCAGCCGAACGCACTCAACACACAACTCTGTGACTTCCTGCGTGCTCTACTTGCTCGTGTTTCCCTTTGGATTTACGTGGACAGGCGCTGCAACAGCGAGCACCCGATGAAGAACACCCGCGTCAGCCCTGGCTCGCGAGGACAGTTCTTTTGGCGCTGGCTATCGTGATTCTTGGCCAAGCCATCTTCGGCGTGACCCAGCAATCGCTCCTGGGGCAAGTTGGTGAATCAGGTCACGGTTGGACCAACCTTCAGGTGTTTCAGCGCTTGGACGCGATTGAAAGGCGGCTGGAACACCTGGAATACGTTGACGAACGCCTCTCGGATGTTGAGGTCGCACTCATAGACATGGAAGAAGTCATGGACCGAGTGCGAAAATTGGAGAAAGGCGCGCACGCGTGGATGGCTGTGGAAGACATGGAGCAGCGGATGCGTTCCCTTGAAGAGGGATTCCAAGATCAAACGCACCTGCGAGACATGGTGCACCGTGTGAATGCACTTGAAGGACAGATGCGCGCTTGCACGGCTGTTCAAGACGTCGAGAAGCGAGTGCGCAAATTAGAGAAACAAATGAAGTCGCGTTCAACCGTCGACTGTGACACGCAGGATACAGACGAGGATGTTGTCGGACAACTCGTCACCCTCGAAGTGCAAATGGCGACACTCGAAGACCGCACCAGCACGCTGGAAGAACACGATGAAGCTCTTGCCTCACTTCGAGAACAGCTTCATGGATGCGAACAGCTGGGCGACGTGGTTGCAGATCAGGCCGGAACTTGCTACTTTGACAGTGGCTCATGCCCGCCGCTGAATGTTGAGCCAGACGTGATTGTCGAATATCCACACGGCGAACAAGTGTCAACAGCCCTCTGGGGGTGGGAAGTGATGGTTTGGCACCCTTCTGGAGGTGCTGTTGCTGCGGCTCTACAATCTCCCGGCATTGTGCTTCGTTTCCATTGTTCCAGGGACCACTACGTGTCAGGCCATATCTCAACTACATGTACGTGATTTAGAGTGGTGGGGTGAAACCTGTCGTGTTGGCTCTACATGCTGGGTGGCAGGGTTGAGTGCGTACATCGCGTGTCTCTGATTGTCACTCACGCTGCGCTGTTTTTCATGTAGGTCTGCGCTCTCTGCAGTGGAGTCACCAACCACCAAAATGTATTCCGCTGACAAACTGCCGTCCCTCTGAATACGTGGAGGCGCCAGCTTCAGAATCAACTGATCGCATTTGCGCCACGTGCCCGCCGGGTACATTCAGTGACTCAGAAAACGCCGCCAAATGCTCAGTGGTCCGCAGATGTAGCCCTGGTGAATACATGTTACGCGAGGCAACCCCCACGTCAAATCGTGAATGCAAGCAGTGCACAACCCGAGCAGAAACAATTACACGCCCACTGGGCACTAAGCCTGAAACTGACGTGGATGACTGGGCTGACCTTGTTCTTGCTGCCAACGGAGTGTTTTACGGTATTCCGGCGCACGCAACATCCGTACTCGCCTACAACCCAAACGGCACAGTTCATGCCGAAATTGACGTGAGTTTCTATGGCGATAGTTGGAAGTGGAGTGCAGGCGTTCTTGCTGATGGCCTCATCTTTGGCATTCCGTACGACGCTGCGGCGGTTCTGGTCATCCACCCAAGCAGTGATAGCATTAGTGACATCAGCGTTGAATGCGGAAGGACGGCGTGTTGGAAAGGTGGCGCACTCGCCGGCAATGGCAAAATTTATGCTACGCCTCACCATGCGGATGAAGTCCTGATCATTGATCCGGTTGCCCTGACTGTGGATACCACAACTATCATCGGTCTTGGTCTTGGGTGGAAATGGGCTGGTGCTACGCTGGCACAGGATGGCCGAATTTACTGCGCACCCTTTGATCGTGGCAGTTTGCTCGTGATTGACCCGACGACTAACACAGCCGAAGAATGGGGTGTCATGGTCCTCGACACAAACGCAGCAGCATTCAGTGACATAATCACTGCGGCAAACGGATTGTTGTTCGCGATTCCTTTCAACGCGCGGTTTGTTGCTGTCGCTGATCCAAAGACAAGGGATTTCGCGGGCATATCTGGACTGTCATGGGACGGATCGAAATGGGGTGCGGCGAGGCTTGATCGGTTTGGGCGCATCGTTGCAATGCCATACCGAGCCAACAGCGTGCTCCTCATCGATCCTGACACCGGGACAATTGCATACAATTCCACAACAACGAATGGCTGCCTAGGTGCTGCCACGACTCGCGATGGTATTGTTCACTGCATCCCAAATCACACGCAGGATGCAATGCTGTTGGTTGACTACCCATGCGACTCAAGGAAGAAGCCATAAACAAAGGAAGATATAAGAAGTGCGCCTGGGCACTAAGTGCTCTTTCAGAATTGTTTGTGTCAGCGTTCCACTCATTTGCCCAAATCACCCACGCATCCTTTGCTTGCGTCCGTTTGACAGTTATTCCTTTGTTTTACTTGCTCCATACCAACACAACGTAGCTGCCGTTCGCACCAGCACCCCATCAATAAACCGTTCCCTTCCTTTCTCTAAGGTCAAATCAAACATGCACCCCATCAACCACCACCAATATGCAACAATCACGGCATTGCGGAGTTTGTTCTGCGGACGGGCATGGCTGCGCCCTCCATCATCTCCACGCGTCGCTGCTCCTCCCGTGTCGACGGCATCCGTGTCGCCCCTGTCGAAGTCGCTGTTGCTGCTGATGACGACGATGACGCGAGCAGGGCGGAGAGCACATATGGGCGGACGGAGGATGTGCGTCCCTGCAAGCTCTCCTCGCGCTCAGACTGCCGACAGCTGTCGAAGCGGCACAGGTGCTCAATCTCCTTGTCCACCACGTGCGGCGTGTAGTTGAGGTGATGGCGGTGGTCGTGACGGTCGTGGCGAGATGTGCTGCGGTGGCGGCTGCGGTGGCGGCTGCGGCTGCGACCACGCACTTCAGCACCAGCACCAGATGGTGCAGTGGTGGTCTGCGCATCATCATCGTTCCCCACGCTGTTCGCCTTGTTCATGGTATGGCTGTCATCATCACCCTCCTGCCCGTCCTCCTCTTCCCCCTTCTCCTCCCTCTGCATCAATGCCCTCTCCTTCTCGCGTTCCTCCAGCCGGTGCAGGTTGAAGTATTCCCGCACGTGCGCCAGCGCAGCGTCGGGCGCGTCCTTCTTGCGGATAAACGTCATCAGGTACCCTTGCAGCTGTTGTGTGTGTGTGTGAGTGAGTGAGTGAGGTGTGTGTGTGTGTGTGATGTGAGTGTGTGTGATGTGGGTGTGTGTGTGAGTATGTGATGTGAGTGTGCGTGTATTCGGGGAAGGGTTGCATTGTGATGTTGTTGCGCGAGTGTGGACACACAAACTACACCACTGACACCACGGACACACCTCATCATCACACGATCACAATCACCACACCACCACGACTGACCTGGGCCACGCTGAAGGTGTCGTTGTCTGGGAAGTTGTCTGCGAATGCGGTGGCGTCCTTCAGCAGCAAATCACGATCAACGTCATCACCACCAGCACCACTACTGCTGCCACCACGCGCGTATTTGGGGTCGTCCTCGAAGAAGCGGGCAAACAGGCCGATAATCTGTTGCCTGCAGGCATGGAAGAAGCCAAACTCGCGGTCAATGCGGCCGGGCCGGATCAACGCCGGGTCGAGGCGCTCCCTGCGGACATGTGGTGGTGGGGGAGGGGAGTGAGTGATGTGACGGTTGTGTGGTTGAAAGGGTGGGCAGCAAGCACCCAAATTAACACACACACACACACACACACACACACACACACACACACACACACACACACACACACACACACACACACACAGTGCACACCTGTGGTTTGTGGTCATGAAGACGATCCTGCCCTCCTGCGCCGCCACGCCGTCAAGAGCATTCAGCAGCCCGTTGAACGTCACCTGGAACGGCGTGCGTGGTTGGTGGTTAGTGGGAATGGTTGAAGCGGATGCGGGTAAGTACAAGGCATACAGGACGACAGCACGGTGAGAGAGGCATTGAAGCTGTCCACACACACACACACACACACACACACACACAGACACCCACACAACATACACCCACACAACACACACACACACACACACACAACATACACCCACACAACACACACACACACACACACACACACACCTTCTGCAGAGGCTTGCGGTAGACGGGCTTGTTCTCATCATCATCTCCGCCACTGCTAGTGCTGGTCCCACCCTTTGTCACCTGCTCCTCCTCATCGTCATCATCGTCACTGCTCTCATCATCACCCTGACTCTTCTTGTCATCCCCCTTCTTGTCCTTCTTCTTCTTCTTCGTCATATCCACACCATCCTCCTCCTCCTCCTCCTCATCATCGCCATCATCGCCATCATCATCATCACCACCCTTCTTCCCATCACCATCATCACCAGTCTGCTGCTGCTGCTGTTTGCGCTTTGACTGCTTGAGTGGCCCGAATGCGGTGTCGATTTCCTCAAACAGGAGGATGGAGGGCGATGGCGCGGAGTTGAGCATGTAGATGAGGTGCGAATCGTCCATGTCCTCGTCCTGCAGGTTCACCGTGCACACGGGCAGGTCTGTGGCCGTGGTGGTGGTGGTGGTGGTGAGGAGGTTGGACAGGGGGGGGGGAGATGCGTATGAATGAGAAGTAAGAACGAATGCGAAAACGAAAAGCAGTGACGTGTGGTGAGTAAGCTGGCAACGAAACACACACACACAGACACACACACACACACAGACACAGACAGACACAGACACAGACACAGACATATACACACAGACACACACACACACAGACACAAATAATTGACGCACTGAATTTGCCAGCGAGGGCGAAGATGAGGCTGCTCTTGCCTGATCCCGGTTTACCGTACAGCAGGTACCCGCGGCGATGGGGCAGCCCTGCACCAGGCGAGGTGGACATGTGTGTGGGGGTGTGTGGGGGTGTCGTGAGGGGTTGGTTTGTGCAACGAGGAGGGGGATTACCGTGTGGCATATCTATCCAGAGTACAAGGAGAATAAATTGAGTGATGTGATGAGACTTGATCGCATGTCACACACACTGACAGAGAGACAGACACAGACGGAGAGACAGACAGACACAGACGCACACACACACACACACACACACACACACACACACACACACACACACACACACACACACACAGACATAGATGCACACGCACACAACCGTGATCAACGCACCCTTTGACTGGTACCACTGTGCGGCGTTGAGCCACCAGTCCATGTCGCCAACAATGTCCTCCACCACCTCATGCGGGTGGTGCACGCTCTCCAGGGGCCGCTTCTGCAGAAGGGGAGGTCACGTGGTCAGCATGGGGCACCCACTTGCTGTTTGTTGCTCGACACACACACACACACACACAGACACAGACACAGACACACACACACAGACGCACGCACCATGCGGTCTGAGAATTTCTCCCAAGAATAGGTGTTGTAGTAGATGGACGTGCACTTCTGCTGGTTCTGGCAAAACTCATCCCTACAGTGGCATTGTTGCACGTGCAGACATGATGGCATTGTGAGGGATTGTATACATGAGCGTGCACACACACACACAGACACAGATACACACACACACACAACCCCCCCCCACACACACACACACATACACAACACACGTCGCACCTTGCCCTGTAGAGCAGCTCTGCGATGATTGCCTTTGCGTGCTTGTCGTCCATCACCGCCTGCTGCTCGCGCGCGTGTGATCCGGGCGACCACAGCCGCCACGAGGGATTCAGCACCGTGATCTGCAGAGGACATGATGTTGGTGGCGTACGGTGGGGTGGCGTGGGTGACGTGGGTAAGTGCACGCATGTATGGCGTGGGTGTGCCGTGCACAAAGCTGACTCATGGTGTGAACACCAATAACACGCCATGTTCGGACGCATGCACGTGTGCAAGACACTGTTTGATGGTCCGCTATGGCCCGCGCACACGTACCTCATACTTCTCCTTGTCGCGGGAGTTTCGGTTGGAATTGCGCTCCTCCACAACCCTGACACATGGCAAGCGCGTGGATGGGCGCTGTGAGCAGGTGCACGTGTGCATTTCCAGCAACCAAGACAGTTTCACACACACACACACACACACACACACACACACGCACACAAGCGCACCGCTTGACGAAGAGGACGTGGGTTGTGCCGCTGGCGTCGACATATGGGACCTTCCTGGTGGCGCCAGCACTGGGACGGAACGTCACTGTCTTGAACCGGTCGTTGTCTCGCCCGCCATCCTGAACAATCCCACATGAGCGATCAAACATGAGTGTACATGTGAGTTGAGGGAAGAGCGTGGGACGCCCAAGTGTGAGGCATCATCCGATTCCCATCCACAGCACAGTGCAGTGTAACGTACCGCCTTTTCGATCACCTCCACGTCCTTGTCGTTCTCCAGGATCTGCAGCAACGCACGCAATGCACGATGGAAGCAAGGTCGCAGCACAAGTCATGAGCGTACACATCAGTCCTCATTCACAAAAACATGGCGCACCAGCAGCACACACCACAGCACCAGCACACAGCGCAATCCCTCCACCACCACCACCTCCACCACCACCACCACCACCTCCTCCACTTACGATGGGCTGGCGCTCGAGCCAGTAGGCGAACCACTCCATGGACCGGGTGCCTTCCGGGATGGTGACGTGGGTGAACATGGACTCGTCAACGCGCCGGTACACGTGTCGCGTGACAAAGCCGATAATGGCCAGGGGCACCGAGGTGAGCAGCGCCACAATCGGGTAGAAGAGCGACGTGTGCAGCAGATCCTTGCCCATCTTCTCCAGCGATCTGAGCGGCGACGACGACGAAGAGGAGGAGGAGGAGGAGGAGGAGGAGGAGGAGGAGGATTTCGCCGTTGAGTCTGCCGTTGAGTCGCTGTCGGCGGTGGTTGCGGTGTTTGCAGCGTTTGCGGGGTTACCGATCCCAGCGCTCTTCTCATCCTTGGCGTTGCTGCCGACACCATGCTCTGCAGTCTTGTCCTTTGTTGCAGACGGCGGTGCCTCAGCAACGTGGCACGCGTCCAGGCTGCAGCTGCCGCTTGGGCGCTGGCCGCTGCCGGTCGCAGGGCTGGCCACGCTGGTTGTCGCCACAACCAGCAGCAGCAGAAGCACACCAGCGACTGCCAACCTACTGAACACCTTCATGGTTGCTGGGGATGGTGATCGGGCTGTGGCGACGATGAATGAATGAACAAGGGAGTGAGAACTTGTGTGACAACCACACACTGCTGCCTTGTGCACTGTCACACAAACAGGTTACAGGCTGCGATTTCTGCTGACTCAGCGAATGCCGATTTTTCAGTGAAAATTTCAACAACTTTTCTACAATTCGGGCAAACTGCCTGCTGCCTCCCTCCCTCCAGCCAGTCACAGAAGCCACAAACCCACACCTTTCCTCCCTGCCTCCAGCAGCAGCCAGCGACTGTCCTTCATTGTTGTTGTGGTTTGTGTTGTGTGGGTTGTGACGACGCTTTTGCTTCCACTGTACCCCTCCCCTGCCCCTGCACACCAACAGAAATGAGCGTGAGTAAGCAGAACCAAACGTGCGGCCTGTTTGGATTTGCTGTTGTTTTGGTCGCCATCACTCGCACGCATGGTCACGCCTGCGTTAATCAATGGCATTATTACTCATCATCTCATCATCACCAACGCTGCTTCGCCATCCATCCCTCCTCATCGCCGCACACTCGGCTGACCACAGCAAAAAGGAAAAGGCAGCGCAGCCAAGCCGGGCGCTGCCATGTCACAGGATGCTCTGCTTGCCGAGGCCTCGCGCGCCGTCAAGGAGAACGCCTTTGCCATGAAACGCTCCCTGGTGTGTAGTGTTGTGTTGTGCGTGAGTGAGTGAGTGAGTGAATGTGTGTGCGCGTCCGTGCGCGCGTGTGTTTGAACGTGTGAGTGAGTGGGGGGTCGTTCTCAGTCACTCGCCATCTTTCATCGTGCAATACATCAGCCACACTCATCGTTGTCATTGTTTTTCGCTCTGTTCTCACCCGTTGCTGTGATGCAGGACGAGGACAAGCTCATGGATGCGCTGAAGCATGCCGTGGCCATGCTCTCTGAACTGCGAACATCTGCGCTCCAGCCCAAGACATACTACGAGCTCTGTCAGTGAAGCACAAATCAACATGTGATGTTGCACGTGTGTGTGTGTGTGTGTGTGTGTGTGTGTGTGTGTGTGTGTGTGTGTGTGTGTGTGTGTGTGTGTGTGTGTGTGTGTGTGTGTGTGTGTTCCGGTGTGCTTTACCTTATTTCCTGCCACCCTCCTCTCGCTCTCTCCCCCCCCTCGCGTTTCTCACTTCCCCCGTCCCACATCTGCTCGCTCGCCTCACCCACTTGTCCCACTTGTCCCGCCACATCCCACCTCCTCTTGATTGTCGCAGACATCAAGGTGACAGATGAGCTGTCGCATCTGAAGACGGTGCTTGAGGACATCTTCGAGAAGAAGGGCCCCATCAGCGACCTGTACGAGCTGGTGCAGTACACGGGTAACATCCTGCCGCGCCTGTACCTCCTCATCACCGTCGGCGCCGTGTTCATTGAGACGAACCGCGTTCCCGCCAAAGACGTGCTGCGCGACCTTGTTGAGATGTGCCGCGGTGTTCAGCACCCGCTGCGTGGCCTTTTCCTGCGCAACTACCTCCTCACCACCGTCAAGACCCTTCTCCCTGAGGAACAAACGTCAGTCGTGCGCGTGCATGTCGGCGTGTGTGGGCGTGTGTGAGGATGTATGCATCTGTGATTAAGAGAGAACGAGAGAGACAGAGACAGAGAGTGAGTGTGAGTGTGAGTGTGAGTGTGAGTGTGTGACTGTATGTGTGCGAGTGTGAGGGCGTGTGCGTGTTATCGAAGGGTGAGAGCAAGGGGCACAAGCAAACGCGGTCCTGTGTGTGTGTGCCGATATTGCTCGTCTAACACCACGTCTCAACCACACGTCACCATCACCACACGTCACCACCATAACCATAACCAACTCATCGCCACGATCACGGCAGCGGGGAGGGCGGGACAATCCACGACTCTGTCGACTTTGTGCTACTCAACTTTGCCGAGATGAACAAGCTCTGGGTGCGCATGCAGCACCAGGTACGCGCTGATGTTGACGACGACGGCGGTGGTGTTAGAAAGGGGTGAAGTGAAATGAAGTGAGCATGCTGGATGGTCTGTTTTGTCGGTAACAAGGACAAGAGCAGAGAGAGATGCGTGCACAAGCACAAGGTCAAGGTCTTCACACACATTTGCTCACACACTTGCTCTCTCTCTCTCTCTCTTTCACACACACACACACACTCACTCACTCACTAACACGCACGCACGCACGCGCACACACTCACAAACACACACTCACAAACACACATTCACAAACACACGCACACATACACTTACTCACACACGCACATACACACTTTCACATACACTTACTCACACACGCACATACACACGCTCACACACTCTCAAACTTCAACCCCCCCCCCCCATATCCCTCCTCAGGGCCATTCGCGTGACCGGACACGGCGGGAGAAGGAGCGACTGCAGCTGCGGCTCCTCGTCGGCACCAACCTGGTGCGCCTGTCGCAACTCGACAACGCCGACGTCGACATGTACAAGGCCACCGTCCTGCCCGCCGTCTTGGAGCAGGTCATCAACTGCCGCGACCCGATTGCACAAGAGTACCTGATGGAGTGCATCATCCAGGTGTTTCCGGACGACTACCACCTGGCCACGCTTGACAAGCTGCTGACGGCGTGTGCGCCTTTGCACGCGCAGGTGAACGTGAAGGCGATTGTGATCAGTCTGGTCGAGCGCCTTGTGCAGTTCTTCAGCCAGTCGCGAGCAGATGCAGCCGCAACGGCGGGGGTGCCGGCAGACGTGGACCTGTACAAGGTCTTTGCCGACAACATCCGCTCCCTCTTCCAGGTGGGTTTGGCAGAAGTGAGAGGGGGAGGGGAGGGTTGATGGACGTGTTGTGGTCGGTGTGATTGTGGTTGTGGCTATGGTTGTGGTTGTGGTTGTGCTTGTGGTTGTGGTTGTGCTTGTGGTTGTGGTTATGGTTGTCGTTTTGTTGTCGTGGTTGTGGGTGTGCTGTCGTGTGTAGGTGTGGTCGTTTTATGTATGTGTGCGCGTGCGTACGTGTTGTGGTGCCGTTCTATTCATGCAAGATTTCCGACTCACTCACTCACCCACCACATCACCGCCACCATTGCGCTGCAGGCGCGGACGACAATGGCGCCTGAGGATGCCGTCGCCATCCAGCTCGCCCTCATGAAGCTCACCATCGAGTGCTACCCAGAGAACCTCGACTACGTCGATGAGGTGTGTTGCCTGTGCGTGTGTGTGTATGGCTGGGTGAGAGGGCGGCTCTTGTACGCGTAGATCATGATGTGCTGTGTTTGTGTTGTTGGTGTGTGTGTGCGTGATTGTGTGTGCGTGAGTGTGTGTGTGCGTGAGTTAAGTCCAGGGCCACACCTGCTCATCATCTTCTTGTGCCCGTGTTTCGTTTGCACCTCAAACGCGACAGATCTTCAAGAACACAATTGACCACCTCAAGAGCGTCGGCCTCACAACGTGCGCCCACGATCACGCCACTGCCTGCACTGCTGCGTCTCAAAGCGACACACACACACACACACACACACACAGACACACACACACACACGCACTGGTACTATCTTTGACGTGCATACGCACATAGCCCCCCAACAAACGCAAATACACGCGCATACTCATCAGCACACACACACACACACACACGCACACACACACACACACACACACACACACACACACACACACACACACACACACACACACACACACACACACACACACACACACACACACACGTGCACGTGCACAGGGTTGAGCCGCGGACTGCTGCGTGCGAGCAGTTGTCGCTGCTGCTTCGCCTTCCGCTGGAGACGTACCCCTCGCTCACGCCCGCCCTCAAGCTGTCGTCGTTTGGAAACGTGTTGAGCATGTTTTCCTATGCCACCCGCCACGCCCTCGCCGTCTTCACCGCAAAGAAGATTGCAGACTCAAACTTTGCCGTCTCAACAGAGGCCGAGGTGTGTGTGTGTGCGTGTGCGTATGTGTGTGTGTGTATATATGTGTGTGTGTGTGTGCGTTTGTGTGCGCGTGAAAGCTTTCTGCGCTTCTGCTTCATCTCTCTCTCTCTCTCTCTCTCTCTCTCTCTCTCTCTCTCTCTCTCTCTCTCTCTCTCTCTTTGTCCATATGTGTGCGAGTGAGTGGCCAATCATGTGTACCCCAATCCCTTGCTCCATGTGCACTTGCTCACGACTGCGTGTTTGCTCACCGTTCCCACCCCTACATCAACCATCCCACCACTCCCCCCCCAACTCCAGGCCGACGTTGTGTTTGGGGAGCTGCTGCTGCCGCTGCTGGGCGAGGTGGAGGGCCAGCCGAAATCCTTCCACCAGGATGGGTCGTTTGTGGAGGAGCAGGTGGTCGTGGCACGCGTGCTCTCCCTCGTGCAGGGGGTGGATCTCGACACACAGGCGCAGATTCTTGCGTCACTGAAGAAGCAGTTGCTTGCAGGCACCATCCACCGCATGCGGTACTGCGTGCCGGCGCACGTGTTCAAGGCGCTCCAGCTTGCGCAGGGCTACTCCGACGCGCGCGATGATGATGAGCTGTGGGAGAAGAAGTGCAGCAAGCTGTACTCGATGGTGCGGACGTGTGTTCTGGCACTGGCAGAGGGAGAGCTGCCCATGCTCGCCCTCAAGCTGTTTCTCCAGGCAGCACTCGTCACCAGCACCACAACGTTTGCCAAGAGCGAAACCATCGCATACGAATTCTGCTCCCAGGTACGTCTGTGTGAGTGTGTATGTGACTGTGTGATTGTGTATGATATTGTGTGTGTGACTGTGTGTGTATGATATTGTGTGATTGTGTGATTGTGTATGATATTGTGTGTGCGTTTGTGCGTGTGTGCGTGCGCATGTGTGTGTGTGTTTGCGTGCGTGCGTGCTCTTCTGTTTGTGTGTTTGCGTGCACGGTCGTTTGCGCGTTTTCGTGTGCATATGTGTCTGTGCATGGGCTCCAAATGCACTTGCGTTGATGTAGCGCACACCAAGTCCATTCCACGTCTCATTCCACTCGACACGCACCTTGATGCCCAATTATGCGCCCTGCAGGCGTTTTCGCTGTACGAGGAGGAGGTGTCTGACTCGAAGGAGCAGGTGGCAGCGATGACGCTGATGATTGGAACACTACAACGCATCACGTGCTTCACAGAGGAAAACTACACCCCGCTCATCACAAAGTCAGGATGAAGCTGCTGCTGCTGCTGTGGTGGTGGTGAGGGGAGTGGGGGAGTGGGCAAACGTGGTACTGCGTGTGGTCGTTATACCTGTGATCATTCATTCCTGTTGGATCTCACACACACACACACACACACACACACACACACACACACACACACACACACACACACACACACCTCAGGTGCGCGCTGCTGAGCTCCAAGTTTGTGCAGAAGCCAGACCAGTGCCGCGGCGTGTGTGCATGTGCAAACCTCTTTTGGTCCGGAAAACTCGCAGACTCGGACGAAGAGGTACGCAACCCAATGTGTGTGTGTGTATGCGTGTGTGCGTGTGTGCGTGCGTGCGTGCGTGTGTGTGTGTGTGCGTGTGTGTGTGTGTGTGCGGGCGCACGCGTTGCTGCTGCTGCTGCTGCTGGTTGTGTTGTTGCATGTGTCAACGTTACTCTTCCTCTCTGTGTTCATCCAGTGCCATCAAACCGCACACACACACACACACACACCTCACACACACACACACCCTCACACACACACACACACACCACCTCTCCTGCCTTGCGGTTCAGCTGCGCGATGGGGATCAGGTGCTCAAGTGCCTGAAGAAGGCGATCAAGGTTGCGCGCTCTTGTCTGGAGCCGTCAACGCAGGCGTCGCTGTATGCAGACATTTACGACGCGTACACCTCATTCTACATCCGCGGCTGCGAACAGGTGACCAACACGATCAAGGAAGGTGGTGGTGGTGGGGTGGAGGAGTAGGTTGTGGTGGTGGTGGTGATGGAATGGGGGTGGTGGAGGGGTTTTTGTTTGATGATTGCGTTTGTGGGGATAGCGACAAGAGCACACACACACACACACACACACGCACACGCACGCACACACACACACACACACACACACACACACACACACACACACACACACACACAC